CCCCAAAACCCCAAAACCCCAAAACCCCAGTAGGGAGGAGCAGTACTTATTCGGATTAAATTTAATAAAATTTATAAATCACACCAAGACTTTTCCCTTGTATAGTTATATTGTGAAAGACATGGACTTAAGTAAGTCTACCTGAAGGATTAGGGGTGTAAAGACACCCTTGGGGTTAAGGAAGACATAGAGTTTTAGTGATGGGGATATCGGGGAGGTTTGGAAGTAGGGTTATAGAATTATGGTTGGTGATAAGAGGAATTACACGGATTCACAAAGTTCACTATAGCTTTACCTCAAGTACTCTGTTTATTAATCACTCTCTTGAAATAGCTTTGAAATAAGGCTTTGTGGTGGTTAAAATCTGGCAAGTTTTTCTTTGGTCAGAATATATTTATAATGAAATTTTTCACAAAATATTTATGATCTGAAAACATTTTCGAGGCCCTACAGTTTTGGAATGCACTTTTAACTCGCTTCTTGAGAGTTTTTGGTAATCTTCTTTGGTTAGAAGACCAACAAGATTCAGAGACTTTTGACATGGAAGTCAATAAAAATAATGAAGAAAGAGAGCCCCAGCAAATAGACCCAGAAATGAACCAGCCCAAGCCAAGAAAAAAGAGTTCTCATCAGAATAATGGTGATCCTGAAGCTGGCAAATTGATCAAAGAAAGTCGCACAAGAAATTTTGAAGGTTTGTGAAATTTAACTACAGGGCATTTCCAAATCTTTTCTCTGTAATTTTAAGTTAGATATATTATGAACTAGCACAACTCTCGTTCAAATTCAGGTGCTTCTTAATGCTAATGCCTTTCATCAAAACGAAAAAGCATTCATAAATACTCCCAGACATTAGAGAGTTCAATTACTTTATATAGAGGCTGACCCTGACAATCTTTGCAAATTATGAGAAGATGATTTTTGAGATCCTATAACATTATCGTGAGGCCACCAAGTTTGTCGTAAATGTTTTGAAAGCCAAGCTTGCAAGAGACTCCAGAGGAAACAAAGAATCAGATGACCTAAATGCGGAGATGGACTGACAGTAGATGATGTAAAGAACTATATCCATAGCAATGATATGAGGCTCTTTCACGATGTTAAGGGTCACATAAAAGTTGAATGAAATCCAAGACATTTCTTTTGTCCAGAAGAAGGATGTGATAAAACTGTTGAAGGGCACAATGCTAAAACGAATACTCCTAAATTTGTGACATGAGATAATGGGCACTCATTCTGCATCCTCTGTAATCATCCTAAGCATGAAGGGAAAAACTGCGAGGAAGCTAAGCCAATTCTGAGACTTTTTGACAATCCAAAGACAAGGAGATGCCCTCACTGTAAGAATTTAGTGCAAATCCAAAAGTTGGTAGCTTACCATAATCCTGAATGCCAAGTTTGTGGGAAGAATTTCCCTAAGCAAAAATAGAAAGCATCGGAGCACTCTTGCAAATGTCCTGATATACATATTCTTGGTCTTCTTAGTTCCTGGCATGTTTGGAAGATATTTGTACAAAAAGACGGGGCTGAAGTATGACCTAAAAGGTAAAGAAAAAACTGAACTGATCGGAAAACCCAAGCCCCAAAACGAGGCTTCTAGATGGATTATGGCAATGAAAATAGTAATCATCGTAGTTGTAGTCATAGCTCTGGCTCTGGGTGGAGAAGCCATAGTGGCCCCTTGTGCATACGTTTGGAGAATTGTAGCTCATTTAGAAGAGAGAGCAGAGAGCAAGGAGTTTAAAGACTGCTTTAAGCTTTGACATGATGAAATTGAGAGTGATAGCCAATATACTTAATCATCAAAGATAATATCGCTGGAGGTTCTATCAATCGTTATTATGCATATTAAGATTCAAAAATTTTTTTTTAGATCGTTTAGTTTCAATGTCGATTCTTCGAATGGGGTTTTGGGGTTTTGGGGTTTTGGGGTTTTGGGGTTTTGGGGTTTTGGGGTTTTGG